GTCTGAAGCAGATTGCTTCTTGGCAGAGAGAGACTGGAGTCCCGCTTCCCATAAATTGTGGAGGTGGAAAGAAACGCCTTGATTCCTCCAACGGCCTGGTGGGTGCAGTGGTACTGCAATGTACAACCTGCTGCCTATGTGCCGAAGATTAACTTCCTAGGGCACGTTGATAGCTACAGACAGATGCAAGCTTTTCTGTCTGTTCTCCAAGCTGGTAGTATGCAAGGCAGCTGAAAGCTATGCAGACGTGGTAGCACGACACTGAGCCCTAGGCTCGCTTCCTCGCCTCACAGCAGAGATAATTAGCTAGGGCATGGCACTGTTTCAGTGCTTCCAGGCTGGAGTTGTTTGGGGTCAGACCATTTGAGACATGAGCAAAGCAGTGACACACACCTGTCTGCAGGCATCCGTACCTTTAGTGATGTTCAGGCAGCATGCTCTGCAGGAGGAAGGAGTAGCACGAAGAGGGATGAATTGGGGAATTAGATCGTGTCTGTAGCATGTCAAAGAAACTCAATATGTTCAGAAATAGGATGAACCATTGGAATATATGTCCCTCTTGTTGTGATCTGTGGGTGTATACTGAAATTAAATGAGACTGAAAACACCCTTGCAAATGTGTCTGTGCCTCCTACACCGTTGAGGCTCCTGTTTCTAGTTAATTAACATTTTTAGAGACACTGCCTGTCCTTTTCAGTTGTCTCCTTGACTTGTCCCTCAGTAGCAAGTCCCTAGCTCAGTTCTGAGGTCCCACACTGCCCTTGCTGGCTTCCTTGGCCCTCTGCCTGTCACGCTGTGTTCTGTGTCCTCTGGCTGCTGAGCTTAGACATGGCCTGAGGCTGCCGGTTTTGATCCCTTCCTCAGCCCAGAAACCACCATTCCATCCCTGTTTTCAAGCCCTTCCTGCCTGCTCATCTAAGCTAGGCTTCTCTTGCAGACCTCTGCTGGGGTGCCGTCTGCTTCACATGGCTTCTGGCAGGCTCCCAAAACAAAAAAGCAAATGCTTTGTCTCTGCCTTCAAAGCACCTTCCCCTTAGCCTTCATTCTTCTTTTACTCCTTTCTCCTTCTCTCTGCTGTATTGGGCAAAATTTTCAAAACACCTTCATGTACCGTGCTTGAAAATCACAAGTGTGTTGGTAGCTGGGCATATCTGAAAATATGGCTTGAATATAGGTTCCTGAATTGTCTGGCACTATGCTGTTCCCATTATTGACAAGCTCATTTGTCTCGTCTCAGGATGCTGCAGAGACTGAAGCATATGCTTAGCTTCATGCCACCCTCTTTAATCTGACTGACTCAGAAAGACTGCACTTGGTAGTCTTGACTTCCACAGGACAGCTTGTACTTCACAAAATTAGGCAGGTACATAAGCCTAAGGCTTTGGTACACTTGATGCTTGTCTGCACTGTAGCATAAACAGCTCTCGCGCTCTAATGTTTCTCTGACGGTCAGTACCAGCTGAGTAAACCTTAGTGATTGACTTTGAAGCAAATTGAAAAATTGTCTAGCAGGTGGACAAAAGGAGGAATGCTCCAAGCAATTGGTTGTCATGACTCAAGACTATTTTTGCTCTCTAATAAGTTGAAAAGCTGTTTTATTTGAAGTAATATGGTCACGGAGAGCAGATGTATACTTGTCTTGAAAAACATACGAAGTGCATGGAATACTGTGTATGCATGTCACGCTCTAAATTCACCACAAATTGTAATAGTAATTTTTACACATAAAGCTGAAATCCGTGAAATAAGCAGCAAGAGAATTATCCAATTAGTTTTGATTTTTGGATTGTATTGGGAGAAAGGCTTGAGTTCCTTCCCTTGCTTGTTCACTGGAAAAGGAGGAGAGAGAGGAAAGCCATATTTTCTTTCTCCCATTTCACAAGGACAAGAAATTTCATGGTTCAGTAAATGGGGCTTGCTGCCTCATGTTGTTCAGTGTCTCTGTGTCCTTCAATTAGGGTAATTTCTCAAGATCTTATGATCTGGTATCTGTCTCTCTTCTTGAAAGTACAGAAATGAACAAAGGTTTGGCTGTGCCCAGCGATAAGCATCTCTGATGTTGATATGCACCACATAATATATCATGGTTAATGAACAGGGACATCCTACCTGCCAAATACAACTGATGCCACGAGCCCAATAGCTTTGTTTGTTGTCAGAGTGCAAACCTGTGTTCAGAATGTTTTGTGGAGGTTATTAGCATCTTTCTAGTTTAGAAGCAATGGAAAATCCTTCAGTAAATGGAAAAGTACCTGTCAATCTAAAGCCCCAGTGGGCAGCTCAGAGAGGCAATTAGTTCTCAAGGGCATTTGCTAATTAGGTGGTGGAGTGATGGTGGTGGAAGAGGTGCATTTTTTTCTGAGATGGTTTTGGCTTTCCTTATCATAACTGTAAGCAATTTATAGTAGAAAACACTATGTGCTAGTTGTTTTGTTATCCAAAGAAAAGTATGTTAGGAGGTGAATTTTAATGTTCTGGCTATGTAGAAATTAGTTGTGTTTTGTTTTTCTTTTAGCTTCATGAAAAGATAATTAGTAATCAGGTCAGAGACTGTCCAGTCCACTTTGATCAGTGCAAATACAATTAGATTCCATATTGTTATTCCATTTAATACAGCCTTCAGAAGCATCCTGAAATTTTGCTGCAGAAATAAAACTGAAAAATCAGATTTCTTACTCTTACCAAGCTGATTCATGGTAGTGAAGTAATGACTGGTTTTATTCTGTATAACTCTAAAAAAATTTTGAAAGAAATACTTGTGATAAATAAGCAAATAAGATTTTTGCTCATCTGCTCCATGCATATTTGATACTTGACTTTTCTGAAGGAGCTAATTTTGTAGCTGTAGAAGAGAAGGATATAATTAATCAGTTGGTTGAAGTGTTTGGTCCTGTAATTTGACTGGTATTTTAAACTTTGGCCTGCTGTCATGAAAGAATTCATATTAAAACAGATGCATAAAAATGAATTCTTCATGCATATAAAACTTTAAAAGGCTTCTCTCGCCACGTACTGTATTATGCATGTTATGTATGGCAGGAAACCTAAGCTTGGAAGCAGGTGAAATCCCACAAGTTCAACTGTATGAAGCGGCAAGTACGTACATACAAAACTCATTTGTTTCCCAAACTATATGTGGGATAAATCCTGTTTATTAGCCACAAAAATGTCTGATTGTAAAACAGAAATCATATTGTGACTTAATGGTTGAGTTCTCAGGAGTCACTTTCAGATATTTTCACACAGACCGCAAATTTACACAGCTAACCACTGTTCAAAGCATTCTACCCCTGGAATAGTATACAATCCAGCCCTGGAATATTTCTGGGAAATGAAAAGTAAAAACAATGAGGAAACTTCTGAAGCATTTATACATACCTTACACTGTGTTTAAAGCTTTTCCTTTCCCCCCCGCTCCGTTTTTCTCCTTTGCAAAAATGTTGGGGAAATGTAAAATGTTCTTTGTTCCTGCAACACAAGGCATGGGACGTCTTCTCCTCTGCGTGCTGGTAGCAGGCTGTACAGCAGAGGCAGCAGCTAGTTGCTCATCTCTTTCACATGCAGCCTGTTTTATTACAACTTCTTGAGTAAAAACAGGTCTTGAAGACTGAGCAAGGTTTGGTTTTGATTGACTGCTGGGTGAATCTCATTGCTAAGCATCATAACGTCCTCTGAATGAAAAAAATACCTTGTTACCCTAAGCATGGGGAGGATGTCTGTATTCCCATGGTAAGCCAGCAGCTACTTTGGGACAAGGCAATCTGTTACAGAGAACACAGAGGGTTAGCATTTAGTGTGAGCTCACTTTGGCTTTGTGGAATAAATACATCCTTCCAACCACTAGAACAGTTTTTAAACCTTAAAGTACATCTCTAAGGAAAAAGCAATTACCCAACAAGTCTTACAGCATTAACACCATCAACCTATAAGTCTGATAAATAAAGAAAAAAAGTACTAGAAATGCATAGCTGCCCTCATGTTAATGGACACTGCTTGTAATTAGATCAGTGAGGAAAACTGTTACGGCCTGAGGTCTTCCGTCTGAAAATGCTGTTGCACAAAAGCCCAAGAACTATGCATATGTGAGAGTTTCAGTGAAATTTCATTCTCGTGGAGAGTAGCAATGAGTATTTCCAAGCGTTAAGCTGTCCTGTTTTGGCATAAAGGGAAGGAAATACTGAATTGTTTTCAAAAGTTTGCTTTTATTAACATGTAAACCCAACATTTTGGTGGGTACAAATTACTTTTTGGAAAGTGTTTTTGGGGTGGAGGAGGGGAGCAAAGAATTTGCAGATTTTAAGTTCAGTTCCAGAAGCAGAACACAATTGAGTAGAAGCTGTGTGGGAGGCGAGGCTTGTGTTTGCTGCCTGGGTCTGTATAAACACAGCATCTGTGAAGTTCATGCAATTTTTGCTTTAAAAAAAACAAACAACAACAACAAAAACCTGCATGAAAGAAAATTGATCTTAGTCATACTTTGATATTACTCAGTTCGGTAAGGGAGACTTTTATCCATACTTAAATTCTAGAAGGTTGTACAGTATAACAAGGCTACTCTCTAACATTACTCCAAGTTTTCGCTCATTATGGAGTGTAACACTGCCCTGAACAGCCTTTTTTCTGTAAGCAGCACTCCTCACCTAGGATTTAGTACAGAGTTGTTACTCTGACAAAAGATAGAAAATTGAGCTTTTCACAAAATGTACCCACAGCAAGTACTGTAGTACTGTTATTCTAACAACACCTGCATTTCAGGAGCCTGCTTGTTTTACTGTTCTTGCTTTCTTCTTTTTGAAGTTTTTCATGGGAGGGGAAACTAAAACAGAGTATGAGATGGCGTTTGGGAAGCAAAGATCACATCTGGAAGAAGCATGGAAGCAGGAGATCTGGCAGAGCTGGAGTTAAAGCAGATATAGCTGTGTACTGGGTGGGAAAAAACATGCTCTGATGCTCTTAGCTATGACCACTGCTGATTCTGCTCAGGAAAACTGTTACAACATAAAGGTGAACATGAAACAGTGCCAGTGGTGGGCAGAGTGCGCCTCAGGAGAAAGGAGCAGGTTCCCTGAGGAAAATCGAGGGGTTTGGAGGATTCTGTGTCTCTGATCAGAACTAAGACTAAATTTTAGATCCCACTGCTTGCTCACCTATGTAAGTAAATTGGCATCAATGTAGAAAACCATATACATATGTTTTTTCTTCTCTTGTTTTTCCTAGACACTAGAAACGACATGCAGAAGGAACGTAACTTGAAAGAACTCCTTAAAGAACTGCCCGATGCTCATTACTGCCTGCTGAAGTATCTGTGCCAGTTCCTGATAAAGGTTGCTGAACATCATGTAGAGAACAGGATGAACCTTTGCAATCTTGCCACTGTATTTGGACCAAACTGCTTTCAGTAAGTTGGGGTTTTCACTTTTCCCCATATGTTGACGGAGAGCGTAACGGAGCAGATGGCCAGAAATGTAGCTCAGAACCCTAATTTGTCAGGGTGATCAAATGGAGGCAATGACTGGGGCTTCATGATAAATTTTAGTGCTAAAGCTATTGTTTGAACTGAATGGGAGTTGAGTTGCTCTCCCATGTCCTCTTGCTATTTTTGTTAAACAGTTGGTCAGTTTTCTATTGCTGCATCGACAGCAGAGCAGGAGTATAACCATGAAAGGCCTTCAGACTGTATAGTGCAAGGAGACTTGTGCTCATACAGCTTTCTTCCTTTGCCATCAGATAATACGGATGCTTCTCTGTAGAAGGCGTTGAGAAAGGATACCTGGGGAAAAGGACTCCTATGCAGCACCCAGGTGCTGTATAATTTCTAGAGATGGATACTGCATACTCTCTGCAGATTTGACTTTGTGATCTGGTGTCTGTCCTCAAGATGCCGATGATTCTGGGCTCTTTATCCTTCTAGTATATTCAGAAACTGGTCCAGAGGTTATGAGGGTTCCACTGGCCGCTTGAGACTTCTTACTGAACTCACTAGTTTTACTAGTTTCTTTCATTGGCTCCACTTCCTTGGTGTTTGTGGTGAAGACATGTTGTACATGCTAATCGAGCTTGCAGCAGTAGCGAGAAGAGTTATTTTCAGGTGCGAGAACACAGTTGAGTGAGAATGTTTCTGTTGAGTCACTACTGTGGTGCAATGCACCGTTAGCATCTTCACCCCGGTCTTGTCTGTAATACACCTGCTGGCTGGCATCTAAGATCTAAGACATGGGAGACACATAGGGAGTTTGGTTCAGTCATCAGTCTTGAAAGATGTGTGATATCAGCGAAAAGAGACAAGTGGGTTCCTTGTAGCAAATGTTGGATTTTTATTGATCCTTTTAAAACTTTGCTCTGGAATAATACTGAGTTGCCTAATGAGACTTAGATTAGATTAATTGCCTAATGAGACTATCTCCCTAGGCTTCCTCTGTAGCCAGTGGAAAAAAGGAGACTTCTTTAAAGAGAGAAAACGGATATTAGGTTCCTTGTAATGTATTGAGCCAGTTCCACATACCTAGGCTAGATGCTGCCTGCTGTCTTTTTAAAGGAGCATATCTTTTCCCATTGATCAGGGAAAGAACACGCAGAGATGAGACGTTTAAACAAAAGCTTGTCCTTGTGACTACACTGCTGCCTTGTCTTAAGATGGTGCTCCTGGATGATGAAGGTGAATATGTCACAATTAAAGCATTCACTGTGTTAATACAAGAAGATAAAGCATATTTTGAAAAGAACTGTCTTCGTCTCCAAAAGAAAGAAAACTCAAAAGACAGTAGTATGTGCAGGAACGCATGAATATGAGAGTTAGTGGAAGCACCATACTGCAAATTTCTGACAAGGAAAAGCAAAACAATTTCTGAAGATTACATTTGTATGGGCAGTTTGGGAATTTCTGTGTAAATGTATTAGTGGAGTTATGAACAAACAAAATAAATTAGAAGAATGAGTCCAATGGCTAAATCTCTATGACTCAAACTCCCAAGTGGCTATTAGAATAATTTTTAGTTTATTCATCACTTTGTTTAGGAAAGTTTAAAAATTAGCTCTGCATACTTTTTGGTATAGAATGCAGAGAGTTGCAGTTTAGAATTGCAATTGGCGTTCCTAAGATTAAACCAAAGCATACCTAAAAACTGCATAGTTGTTGCCTCAACTGATCTCTGCTCCTAAGATAACATAGAAAAGACGTAACAATTTTTGTAATGTATAGGGCCTGTGTCTAAGAGGGGTGGAATTGCATCATTCCATTGCAGAAGACTGAGAAAGGCAGAGTTCACTGGAGATGAAAACACAAGGGCTCTCGTGGCTGTATATGAACGCAGCCAGCCCTGCAGTTGTGACACGCATTGAAATAAATGGTCATGTAGCAGAAGAGGCAAGGAAAGCAAGGCTTGACACTTCACAAATTGCTAATATGATTTTTAGAAGACCCAAATATGTCAGAATTATGGATGTAGATTTTTGTTTAAACTAAGTTTCACCATCTAGTAATTCAGCTATGTGTTTCATCAGATCTTGATCTTTCCAAGGTAGTTCGGGATTGTGGTCCAGACACAAAGATTGTGAGCAACAGTTCAAATACTCTTTTCTCATACGTTAATGGATGCAGTCTTAAATTGCTGGAACTGTGACTGTCTGTATCAACAAAGATTTGATAGGAGGAGGAAAAAACTTGCAGCACTGAACTTTAGGCATTGGGCTTAGCCAGCTGGTTGGCCAAGCAGCAAGAGAGAGATGCTCAGATGCTCCAGAGTAAGGCTGCCTGAAGCCTGCTTGGCAAGGGCTGTCTTACTATATGGCTACAGGCAGCCCCTAGAAAGACTAGCTGCAGAAATTAAATATCAGCAGGTGGTTGAAGCAAACACTTCTCTCACTTGGTGTTGTTTGTTCAGAGCAGTGTATGGGGTATTTCTCTGGGACAAGGAAAGAAGGCTTAGCATACAGCTTGTCAGCAATTACACTGCTGAAGCAGGAAGATCTGAGATTTTTCTGTCAGAAATTCACACTCATGTCTAAAATCAGCATTCGAGTCTGTGTAGTTAATGCACAGTGTCAGAGAAGATAAAGCCCATCTGCTGATAGTGAAGGATTGCTTTCTACAAGGTATTTTTAGTGACATTTTAGCTATTTAAACATATTATCTGCTACTTTATAAGTAAGGCTGTTTAACAGTTGAATAAATCTCACTGTTGGGCCACTTTCCAGACATTTAGACTTTGTTTTAATTCTCTTAATCTCATTCTATTTTTCTACATCATGTTCTCAGTAATTTATCTCATCTCCTAAACTTTCAACCCTTATTGCTTTTATCTTATCCACTACTTCCCCTGCTTCCTTGCTGGCTGTTTGACAATCTGCACTGGTGCTTTTCTAATGAAATCTTATCTTGTGCTTTCTGTATTCCTAATGAATAGAAGAGGGGAGAAAACAGCTATTTGCATTCCTTGTAATGAAGTGTGATGTAAGATGTAGGAAAATGTAAAGGGCAAGGTCAAACAGCTCAAAAAAGGAAAATATGATGGTTTGAGATTTAGTGCACTGTTTTCTTCCAACTTGAATTGTTCAGATTTATTGTGATGGAAGCCAAAGGTCAAGTATACAGAGAAATACAGCCCTTGAGGAACAACGAGTGTGAACGTGTAGGAACATAAATAGTTGTCTCTTCTGTCACTGGGCTAATCTGTGTGGGTTATTAACACTTGCAGCATGGTTACTCTTGGAGGAAGTTATTGTCCATTGACCTGAATTTCAGCTCCTGTGGAGCCGTAGCCTTAGTTATGGCCTGCTGTGTGTCTCCACTCGACTCTCACAGCTTGTGCTGAAGAGGAAGGAGAGGACCAGCTGGGTTTTCTCTCCTGGAGCTGGGTATCAGAGGGGCTGCTGCACTCATCCTGTCCTTTGGTTGGGATGGTAAAAGATGCGAGGTCTACCAGTTACAGAGTAAGCAGAGGATCCATTTGCACCCTTTTTTTGCAGCGCTCTCTCAAAGAATGATCTGTGTGTGTGGCCTCCATCATTCAAGCCCTCACTAACCTGACTGTGTTTAAGTGGAGGAGTGTTTCACAGAACTTAAGTGGAGGAGCAGTTTCACAGGAAAAGCTACAATCATAGAATCATAGAATCTCCTGAGTTGGAAGAGGCTCAGGAGGATCATAGAGTCCAACTCCTGTCTTCACACAGGGCAACCTAAAAGTTAAACCATGGATCTAAGAATGTTGTCCAAATGCTTCCTGAACACCGACAGGCTTGAGGCCATGATTACTACCCTGGGGACCTTGTTCCAGTGCTTGGCCACCCTCTTAGTGAAGAACTTTTTCCTAATATGTGCAAAACAAAATGGCGTTTGAACTCAACAATACAGCTCAAATACAATCACAAGGAGCATTTTTGAAGAACCTCTGTTTAGAAGTGTTTGGAGCTGAGTGATGTACTTTGTGAGTGGGTGTTAGGCTATGGACTGCCCTTTGGTCGCCCTTTGTGTAGGTTGCACTTTCAAAGCTGCCTACTATTACTGCAATTTCCTGATTAAAAATGGAGCTTTTGCTGGAGCAAAAGATTTTGCATATAAATGAAGCAAGTCAGTAAAGTCTTTGTGGCAGCATCACTCTAACTGCTTTGCGTTACCTGCATTACCTGCATTTTGCATTATGCATCTACTGCAAGTAATATAGACAGAGAAGGAATTACCGAGTTGACTTAGGCTCTTAAATCTGATGTTACAGAAAATAATCTGGAATAGATTTTAAAAGGGAGGCAGTCAGATGCCTCCAGTGGGAGGCATTCTCCAGTGGGAGATTCTCCAGTGCCTCAGAAGCCAAGACACTTCTGTAAAATCTCAGTAGTGACATATGTCCTTTCATTTGGTCCAAACTGGTGAGACATGTCTGTAAATGATGCAGAGCATTTACAGCATGTAAATGACTCACACACAGAGATGAACACCTGCCTCAAGTTAGCGTTGCTGTATCTTTAGCTACCTGTTAGCCTCTGATCTTGCAGCAGAGTCTGCAGACACAAATATGTGCCTGTTTTCAGCTGCACCAGTTTGTGGTCCAGTGTGTTAAGACAAATCACTTTTATCAGCTGAAGTACAGGACCGAGTTGTGGCTGTGAGGTCACATCTGTTATAGACACAGTAACATCTGTCTATAGGGACAGAGCAGACTGCCTGAAGTTGTAACCTTTTAAGATTACTGCAGGTCTTCTCTCAAAACCTTCACTCATGCTTGTTGAGGGGCTCATGGGCATCTGAGGTACTAATGAAAATGTTTTGCGAGGGCTGGAGAAACAAAAAACCCATGTAGTGTTCCCTGTCCTCTCGAGTCCCTTCATTTTTTGCGGGATCCCCTAGGAGAATGGTAAGGTGACTTTGTGGTGCTCCTCTACAAAAGGTACTGTACAAACCGCAAAAGTAGCAGTCAGAGAAGACAGAGCATATAGCCCTCAGTGGTTTGTAAATTAGGATTACAGTGCTGTCATTCCATGCAAGTTACTTCTCCAAAGCCACTTAAGGAAATGGTAATGTGCATTCTTCATCTCAGACAGGGTGGGGTCAAACACTGTCGGGAATTTGTAATGAGACGCACTGTTTCACATGGAAATTGCTGGTTCTCAGTTGTGACAGGGAGCTGTCAGCAGTTGTTACCTGGGGAAATCAGTTCAGTGATCTCAGTCCAGGTCATTACAGGCAGATGACTACATCCCAAGTCCTCCTGGCCCTCCTGGCCCTCGTTTCTACTTGAAGCAAGTTTCTCAGGTGTGGTGGATGGTGACAGAGCCTTGTAGTGAGACCTATCTCGTGCTGGATGCAGTCATGTTTGGATGTATTACTGCACCGCTCACAGCAGAGTCTGGAGATTCACTCCCTCATAAGCCCACTCTGTGTTTCGCCTGTTACAGCTTGTTTACAGGGACCCTGAGGTAAATTCATTTAACTAATGCATGAAATGTAAGTAATGCATTCACAGTGAGTTAATCTGACCTCAGGTCACTCCAGTTCTGAGTAAGAGTTGTGACACAGGGCTTTGATGTGGTTTAACCCACTTGAGACTAGCTTTCTTGAGCATCCCTATGGAAGCAGACACACTTTTGGCTTAAAGTGCTCTGGAAGAACCAAAAGCACAAGTGAGCACTGGACTGCATGGATGTGAGTGGCATGGAGCTGTGGTGAGTGGGCCAGGCATGCTGGTAGGACATTGTGCAGAAGTATGAAATACTGCTGGGTGTCATATTTTGAAATGAAGGGCTAAGAACTTGATCCTATTCCCAGGTAATGTTTTGACTTTGAGAACTACTGCTTTTTCTGCTTTAAAGTGGCTTCGCCAATAATTTCAATCTTTAATATCTTGTAAAACTTGTGGTACTAATGCATCTTTGCCCTTGGCCCTGCTTGACTGAGTCAGATACTGTTAATGCGGATGCCTCGTTTAGACAAAGCACATTTTTTCCAAATACTTAATGTGGAGCCGCTGTGCTTTGCGCACAAATCGCTCTAAGCATCTCTCTGGGAAGGGCAGGGTGTCCAAGGAATCTAAGGGGGGACACTAGAAAATTTGCTTCTGTAACTGCCTGTGCTATTTACCTGTTCATGACTTTGCAAGCTACTGTGAGAACTCAGTGGGAGTTTTCCAGCTCAAATGTCTAGGATAGAACTGAACCCATCAATATTTTTTCTTCTAGAAATGGCCACAAAAATTACAGGTTTATGCCTCCCTTCTAGAAAGTGTTTCTGGTAGTGAAACTGGTGTTCTGCTGCTGTTTCTGGTGCTGCTACTGAAGTAGTTCGTACATACATGGCTATAAGGGGATCAAGTCCCACCATTGAGGATTTTGTAACTGGAGCAAGATGTGCATCTAACTCCAAAAGCAACACAGTTATAGTGTCTAATTAACATGCTAATTAGACATAAAGGAACCATGACTATGAACACAGTTTTACTGTAATGTTTTAACACGGTCTTCACAAAAGAATATGAAAAATTTCCAAGGAATAGGGTGTGGATCATGAAAGTGGTGCTGTGAGAGAATACTTTCTCATAGGACTGGGTTTTTCTAGTGAGTTGAAGTGCAATTTGTAGATATTATGACTTTTCAGACTAAGAAAAGCTGAAGTAAGATATTCTTTTTTTACACACATTTCCAGAAAAGTCTAGTCAGACTGGTGGATCAAGCACTGTGGCAACAGATGGGTTTTAACTTGTATAAATATGCAGGGTGGTGCATGCTCATAATCTGAACTTCTTATATATGCTGAGCTGAAGATTTATTGCAAGGAAAAGGTTACCATGGATAGCTCAAAGAGTATAATAGTCATTGCCATGATGGAGATCTAATAACCGCAATTAAAGGAAAAAATAAATGAGAAACTTTGTAAAATATGCCTGTTTAGGTGCCAGAGAGATGGCAGTGGATAAAGTATGTTACACTGCCATTAAAATAAAACAATTCATGCTGCTCTGCTTGGTTGCATTCAGAGAGGGGTGATAAAAAAGACTAAAGCCATGAGCCTTTAGCCTTGTGTTCTGCATATGCCTCTCACCATACATGTACAGAATTGTTCAGAATAAGATGTTGGACTTTTCACAAATTTGATTTAATAAAGTTTAACTGACAAAGTAGTGTGGGGAAGGGAGGGCAAGAAAGCCATGGAATTGTGCAGGAATTAAATACTATTTGTGTGCTTTGTGGAAACTTTATAGACGAGGCTGTTTTTCAACCAGGAAGAGTTTTTTGGTGTTAGCTGTTGCCAGTAGGGAGGTGTTGGCTGTAGTCGCCAGCAGATGTGGTTTAAGTCAAGGTTCTGCTCTAAAACTCATTGAAGCTATCTGGAAGCTTTATTTTGACTTGAACTCGCTCTAGTACATTTTCAGTCCATTTCCTAGGAATGAGGTTGATACGGGTGCCAGGCTTACCCTGTGGCCTGTGGTACCCTGTTTTGGAGAAACACGTCAGGAAGGTAGCAGTCAGGATTTGCCTGAATTTCAAGCAAGCTCTGCGCCGTGCCAACTCATTTAGCTAACATCATTTAGTATGGGAAACGGGGTTTCCTTAGATCAGGATGGTCGCATGAACCTATTGCACACATACACTTTCTTTTGTTCAGGCCAGTTACTATCTTTTAGTGAATATGTGACATTCTTTGAAGTGAATTGGCCCAAGTATGCATGCACATCCATCAACAGAAGTTGTCACGTTTTTTCTTTATTTAGTCTGAGGCCAGGTTCCACTCTAATGAAATCAATGGTTTTATTTGAGGCAGCTGAGGCTGACCCATTTTACAGTTGGCCGATGTTCTGCAGTATAAAATAATCCAGTTCGTTTAAACTTCAGGTCCTGTGACTCTAGCATGTGTTGAATGTTGAAATGACAGCAGTAAAGATTCTCCTCTGGAGTTTGCAAAGATGCATTCTGCTGCAGTGGGATCCTCTCCCTGTTGACATGTAGATGTACTGCAGAGAGTAAAATATTGAGAAGGATCAATGGCATGCGACCCCTACAAGAAGGCACTTTTTGATGGCAAATTTCTGGGGGCATCTGCTTTCAGAGCCTTCTTGTTGAAATGCACGTCTGGCCCAAATAAACTATAGTTACAGTTTTACAGTAGATAGTTATTTGTAAATTTTAATTTGCTGGTTGTAGTAAACAATAGTTTACTTTCAAGTTACATCCCAGTAAAATAGCTCAGATGGCATTTGTTTAATTTTTGGAGGGTTGGGTTGGGTTTTTTCCTCTTGTACAATCACTAGCTGTCCTCAGCCAAAAAATACTTGAAACTTTTTTGGTTTCTGGTTTTTGCTCCCCTGCTTCTTCCCTTTAAATCTTTTCAGTATTTTCTGTACCTCCTCGTCTGCAGTCTCTGCCACTTTATAAGGTCTTTAGAAAATTCACATCCATGCAGCCGCTTTGTGGATTATTGAGAGAAGAGTGCGTCTGCTGGAAATGCTGTACAATGGCAAACACTGGATGATTGGAGAAGTATTTTAAATGCTGAAGAAGATTCTTAGGAGATCTTTTGCATTAAAACAGAATTTAAGTCAGTTTTGGGCACCAAGGTCCAAAAAACATACAGCCTACATTCCTTTCCAAGACAAAGATACAGCCAGCCTGTATCCACAACTGAAACGTTACAGAGACTCTGTGCAGGAACTTTTATATGTTGAGTACCTATAACTCTCTGCTGTATGTTCTGTCCAATTTTAGTGTGCCCTCTGGATTTGAAGGTATAAAAGAACAGGAGATCTGCAATAAGATAATGACAAAAATGCTGGAAAACTACAATACCTTGTTTGAATTAGAAGGTTTGAAGAAGGATGAAGAAAAGCCTGTGTGTGAAGAGCTAGCAAGAATTATTTTGGTAAAAGTGAGTATCTCTAATATTTCATTTTCTTATAGCAAATCAATAATGCAGGCTTATTGCAGGCTTCAATTCAGAAATCTTTTAGGTAAGTGGAAGGCAGGCACTGTTGTTATACTGTTCTGTGTTATTGATTGGTATACACTTTACAAATCGATTCTGCTGATAGGCTAATTTTCATTACTAGTCTGGAAGTTGATTCTATTAAACATCTTTATTCTTTGTTAGCTAATCACTGTTATTTATATAGGAAATATATCTGCTGAAAATTAAATGTTCTTAAATGAGGAGGCAGAACAATTCTAGGAAATATTCAAGTTTTCTGACATGGTGGTCATTTGTGGTGTACATCAGTGATGATGAGCTTTCATGCTTTAGGACAGTATGAGGTCTCTAGCCTTTGCCACTATGAAGTCTGCTTGTTCCAAACACGTACCTGAATTTAAAAATCAAATGTTCCGACTCAGAACATCCGTTTCTAAGTACGCTTAAAGACAAGCATTAAATAGTAGTTACTATTTGAAGAAAGTACATTGGAGCTGTTAAATAAAAGTAATATAGTTAAAGTATGATACCTTTGGAGGGAAGAGGGCATGTGTGTAACATCAGAGGATTCTAAAGTTCAGAAAAAGTTGACAAAAATAAGTTGGGCAGCCAAAAGTGCCTTGTTCTGGCTTGTGCTGTCTCTACTACAGGAAGCAACTTGAAGTTTGTGCAGGAAATGATCGTGAGGACAGTTTGCAATTGCCTTATTTCCTTTTGTGTGTTAGCTGTGCAGGTGATTATTCCCTTCCAAGGTGTGAGCTCTTGAGTTTGAGAGGGTTGAACTACATGCCTTCCTTTCGTAGAGTTTTGCAAGCACCCGCTGATAAAATCACCTTAGCCTTCACTGGCTGGAATGGAAACATCAGAAAATAAATTATAAAAATATAGTGTCTTTGACCTTGGCAGAACAAGAAGTTTGGTTTGAGCCCAAGTTCTGCCGGTCAAGTGAAATCAGTTGAAAACATCTCTTCCTTTGCAGTGTATCGCAGGAGGATCTGTTAAATCTGAGCTTCAGGGCAATCTGTGTGACTTGGACCCAGCTGCCTTCAGAAGGGTTGGTTGTTTTCTTATGTGATGAATCAATGAGGAAGTCTTTAGCTGTTTACTCTGTTAGCTGTTACTAAAATTTACCTAAAATTCTTCTGTGGAAGGAGATAGAATGACTGATGACTTGCGGTGGCCTCCCTCACAGATGTTATTGAAGTCACAGTAACTTCTGGGTAATGGAAATGATCTGCCTGCCAGATGAGAGTGATGTTTAGCAGCTGATGGCCACTTCAGTAACAAAAACAGGTTAAGAATGTAATTGTAAAAAGATGCAGTACTTTAAAGAACCCAGAAGAAAGGCTTCAGATATGTCTCCATCTCCTTCAAGCCTCAGCCAGTTGCAAAAGCCAAAATAGTCTTTCACTTCTAAGGACTTATTAGTAATTGGGAATGCACAAAGGTGGAGACCTGGGAGATTTCCCACAGCAGTTCAGAGATCTGAGCTATCAAAGTACATGGTGACAACCAGAATTACTCCAACAAAATAGCCTGAAAGATATAGTTACTCAAGTGAGATGAAAAATGTTGCCCATTGCTTTGCCTCAGGAGACAGATGACTGCCTGAGAGGAATGAGCCATGACTAAACACAAGGGCTTACATTGTGTTTGTGTCTTTGGATCTTGCTGATAGCTTCCAAATCCTGCTGGCAGTCAGCTGCAAAAATTTGACCTTGTTCCTTGTCCATCTAATTTGGGTGGGAAGTTTTCTAGCTTAACCAAGACGCATACTCAAACACAAGAAATAAAAGCTTCTAACTTCATGTAGCAAAGCTACGTAAGAAGTGCTTGTTGAGATTTGTCAGGTGGCTCTTTGAAAGGATGCTTTATACCATTCCCAAATGTTTCTTTTCTTGTATCCTAGATATCCCCTATCCTAGCCAATTTGTATAATAAATTAGAGATGGTGCACTTGAAAAGAAAACCAAGTGGTAATACATGAGATTCAGTAGAGAAAAGTGATTGCTACTTTGCTAATGCATGAACTGTTACATACAATAGGAGTTAGCTGGTCTGTGTCATAAAAGAACAAATGCATCAGAGAATTATTTGGCATGACCTGGGTCACAGTGTCCAGAAAATAGCAAGCCATTTGTAAGCAAAGTTACTGCTTCTTGAAAAGCGATCGATGAATTCATATCTACAGGTAGCTGGAGAGAGTAATCCTGTTGGAAGGAGTGGAAATTGTAGGATGCTCAGAACAACGCTCTTATAAACTGAGGCCCTGTTGATTTTAAGAGTGTTGCACTCAAGCATGAACCATGGTGGAATGAGGGAGCAGACAGCAAGGAAAGGGAAGAAAATGAGGACCTGCCCTTTACCAAACTCAGCTGCATTTATCTAAATGGCTTTTTTTGCTTTTACATTGTGAGCAGCAGGAGAGTAAGGAAGGGGAGATTTAGATGGCCTCACTCACTTTGGCATATTTCTGTCATCCCCTCCCACAAATCACTTGCTTTATTGCTAGTATTTCACCCTGAGTCACTACACTGCTACCTTTCCCATGATTGCCTTCACTCTCTCTCCTTTCTCTCTTTTCCATATTTACATTTTTCTCCTGAATTCCCACAGCCCTGTCCCACTATTCTTCCTGTACTCAAATCTGATAGCCCTTCATTCCCACTCCAGAGAAAAGGCTGGCAGTCTGTAGTGAAGTGCAAAAGCTGCAGCACTCTTGGTACATGGCCTTCCATCACCTCCAGTCACTGTGCACACATGCTGTAGCCCGTCCACAGACCGTATTTCTTTGCCATCCTGTCTTTCATGTTCTTGAATGTGGAGATAACTTTTCCTCTAGGTTGGTACAGTGCTTGTGGTAATGTGACCTTCCTTACATGTTCTCCTGGGTGTGCTGTGTGGGGCTAGGGCTTATTGAGGCACTTTTCCTAGACAAGCATTAATGATTCCTTTTGGTGGAATGTTGCTGTTATTCTTATCCAAAGGTAAGGTTCCCAAAATGGGGATGGAGGTACTTATAGAAAGAAATTAGTTTTTACATGGTGTTAAGAGATTAGCTTCACGATGGTCAAAGCCATCGGTGCTGATCCTGGTGTTTCTTGATTAAGAATTTGGAAAGAGCACCTGTAAGCATGAAACTTCTTATGCAGGGAGAAGAATGCCACAAATTTGCAGAAGGACTAACTTGAATCAAAATTTGAAACCCAATGACAGTGATTTAAAAAAATAAGGAAAGACATCAAAAAGTACAACATCGAACAATGTACTTCTCCCAGTGCTCTAATATGCTTTTTCAGCTTACTGCGTTATAAAATTAGCCCTGCTTTTTCTTATCTCTTCTTTGTGGCTTCAGGCTCTTTCTTTGGTGCTGAAATCTCAACTGGAAAAACAGGAACCTATCTTTAGTTACTGTCTAAAGGTATTGCAAAAATATTTCTTCCTGCAGTCTTTGGTCATTGTTGAGATGGCTTAGGTGCCTGGTGCTCCACATCATCCACTCATAATCATCTTTTTTGAAGTCAACATCAACCCTAATAATTAATTTTGAGCAAATACCCAGAAACAGGGGAGTAGGCTCATGCCATCCCATCCCAATATGGGAATGTACCTCCTCTCATGTGCTCGGTGATGTTTACCATCTTCCCGAACTTGCGTGATTCCTGGCACTTCATGGTCTGGATATCTTAAGATTTTCTCACGCTTCGGCCGTAAAATCAGTGGATTTTTAAAAGCAGAAAGTACTGCTCTTTTAAAATGAAAACAAGAATATGTAGATCATTCAGATAAAGTCATGAAAGCATCAAGCTTCTTTGAGCAGTGTATTGGAAAGCTCAAGTGGTGCTAAGTAGCATCTTGTCTACCATGTTGGTCATAGCTAGGGGAAATCCACAATGCTACAGACTTCCAGAAGGAGTAAGAGCATTTCAGCTGGGTACAGATTGCAGTAGCTCAAAGAAAATCTGGTTTAAGGAAACCAAAAGTTAATAAATTTTAGAGATGGGAAAGAGATGTGATTCTGTAGTTCTGTTGGTAACTGAACAGCCATGCTTGCTGTGTATGTGCACTGAGGAGGCACAGGAACACCTTCACTCCAGTTATGTTTCTTCTTTCAAAGATTACTCAGTCATTGGGAAAGACAAGTTTTGCCAGGTAAAGGGATTTCTTAGCTTGCTTTCTCAGGGGATCATAATTCAGAAAGTAAGGGAGCCGGAAATCTCTGCAAGCTGCATTCCAGTCCCTGCTTTGTTCCCAGGGCCGTAAAGCCTCCTCTTGCTTATTGCTCAGGCATATGGTAGGATTATACTTAGAAATGGTGGGGAGTTTTTCTTTGGAAATCTCTATGTTAAAGAAAAAGGTGCAATTTTCATGAAATAGAAGATTTATCTTAGAACAGTTTCTGTTTCAATGGGAAATTGAATTATCAGGTTCCTGATGCCTTGCCTGGAAGGGCTACATTAGTTTCTCGCTCCACCTAGTAGAATGAGATCCATACAATCTTCCAGGCAGGTGGCCAGCAGGTGGAAGTATAACATGTACTTTCTTTAGAAATATATATATATATATTTGGAAATTGCTTCCCATAAAAGAATTACGTAGTTTGATTTTTTCTTTTTTTTTTTTTTTTTTACATTCCAAAGTAAGTTGAAGTTTGTTGGAGTTTACAGGTCTCATTTGTAGCCAGTTGTTATTACAATCCTTAAGACTTTTATCCATGCTTCAGTTATTTCCTAACCCAGTGAAGGTCTGCAAGAGTCTCAGTCTGTTGATCAATAGGCTCTGCTAGTTAGAGAGAAATGGCTGGAGAAATGACATTCCAAAGTAAGTTGAAGTTTGTTGGAGTTTACAGGTCTCATTTGTAGCCAGTTGTTATTACAATCCTTAAGACTTTTATCCATGCTTCAGTTTAATTTCCTAACCCAGTGAAGGTCTGCAAGAGTCTCAGTCTGTTGATCAATAGG